CATGAAAAGGTCTTCCTGTTTTTCTTCATTTTTAGACAGTGGGGTATTATAAAATACACATGAAATGGCATAATTCGGTCACCAGTGCACATCCATGCCACTGATCTCCGATCCATGCTCCCGTCGGGCCTGTAAGTGACCAAAAGAGAGTCCTATTTCCCTTGACCTTCTTCCTCAGGCAAATAAAACCCTCTGCTGATCACTCACAGTCCCTCGAGGCGCATAGACGTGAACTAGTGACCTCATTGCCCCAGTCTAATAAGTATGGCTTTAGCAATGAACGCGGATTGTTCTCAGAGGCGTGTGCTAAAAGCTAATTCTTCTTTCCATAAGATGTGCTTTTCAGATGCTTCATGTAAAACAGCTGATATTTTAGGATAATTATGTCATCATTATCGGTTTCATTTGTAATTCATTTTCACCAAAATGGTCACTACTGTGCCAAGCGCATGCACATGATTATATGGTCATTTGTTACCGTTACAACGCCCCCTTTATCATTACGCCGTGACTTTCCTATATGATTAATACAGATTTCCTTCTCCCCCGCATCCTATCCATTTTCGGGCGTAAATTTCCGGGCAGGTTCGATTAATATCTAATTTGTCAGTTCCATACAGGCCTATCTAGAATGATAAAGGTTTCCTCTCTATATTTCTTTCTCTGACCACAAACAGGTTTCTTTTTAAAGAAACCGTAGTTCATTTTAAACAAATGTTGGGCCGTTTTGTCTTCTTCCTTAGAAGACGCTCCATTGGGAAATACTCCATCTCTGGAGGGCGTAAGATGACCAAACGTCGAGACAACAGATCGAGTGATCAAGCTACATATCTTGAAATCAAGAGTAATCCGCCATGTAACATTTCTCACTCAGACACAGTCTGGTTGCCCCAGAAGAAAGATTTTCTACATGCTATAGTTGTGGGTTATTTGAAGTTCACCTTCCGCAGCGTTTGTAAAACACGTACCTGTTTTGATAAGGGACGGGGGTAATTACTTCGAATCGACGGTCTGTGTCTATGACTCGTTTTTGAACGTCTTCGATCATACCTTGGCAGGTGAGCTCATGAACAAGATGACCTGGTTATAATTCCCATGCTTTCATCTGCTTTTCATTAAATGACTAACATTTGTCCAAGAAATGTACTCGGCTGGCACTCTGGGACGAACTTCCTCGCGCGGCTAGCTATAGAACGGCTTCTGCTAGGGAGAACAGCCGGGGGTCATGATGTGAGGTCAGAGGCCCGGTATCGCGCCTCCCTTAAAGGCATCCTCAGTGAGCATTTACCCAGGAACTTTGTCGACCTGCCGATCGACAAAGGGAGGGTTAATGTGAGGCATACCCAGTCGGTGCGAATAGGCCCATAAGATCCTCCCTGCAGCTTCGCAAGGTGTTCGTTAGTGCTAAGGTGTTAAATTTATTTCGTTTTTTCAGTTTGTTCCCGTTGGCCAAACTCGCCGCGAACGCCACACTGTCCCCCCTCCCCGATTACACTAAAAGTACCCGATCTACTCTGTCTTGCTGAATTAAGGGAATGCAAATATGCATTAAGCTTACAGTCAACCTAGCAGCGGCAGGCCTAAGAATTACACGGAACATAACACTGCATAGATTTACAGTTACCCATGATGACGTCATCAGTTCTGCCCCACACAAGTGGAAAGGCTCTAGACATGCCACCCTCATTTGGTAACAAATCCTGGCTGCACGATCAGTCCTTACGAGACACCTCGAACCCCAGCTGAGCGCTTTCCGGGAAAAAGTGAGAACAAGGTTGAAAACAGCCTTTACGCATATCTCCATCCTTGCAGGACGTTGGGACGGGCTAAGTTCGTTTGGGTTAGTGACGTAAGTTCACCGAGCCCTCATTTGATAAAGTTAAATTGTTCTGTTTGAATCATAATTGGAATTAACGCAAGGCCCATAGTGTCGTTCGTTCAACAGCATTCCGAGGAACAACTAGTGAGAGACTAAAAATGAACTTTTATTATTTACTAATTCCCTTGAAGGAGATGATTCAATCATGAAACCGTGAGGGCGTTTTTATTGTTCCTGTCTCGCG